ATACTCGTTCTTTTGAATACTGTATTAAATTATTCTCATCTGATTAAGTGGGCATTAAAGTTTAGCATGTTTTGTACCATTTTATACGGTTCTCATTTTCTAGTTTTTAGTTTTGGCTGGCCTTTGAAAGTTGATAATTTTGTTGGACTGAAAAGACACAGATGCGTACTGGAGCACCTGCATACTGCTGTGGTTATTTTTGTGAAAAGTTTCTTTATTTTTTCTTTTGCAGATCAAAGAGTTGAATTCATACGTGGCTTTGAGGAAAACGTAAGTTCACTGTTTCAGTTGAATTTTTCTTATTGTTTACTGGTTAGTGACTAATGCTGTCTGAAGTCCAATTATGTCCTAAACATTTGCTTGTCATATGTAGCTAAGAAGCATAGACACAAACACATGATAAATACACAATGCACATATGAAATCATGTCACTTCCCAAAAAAAGTATACCTAAAGCATCCCTGCACATATAAGACATGGATACTCTAGCCCAGGGCAATACAATCTGGATACCTGAGGATATTTTGACTCCAAGTAAAATGCATTTTTGTAATTTACTGCAGATAGATAGATGGACGTGGTCCATGAAGTTTTCTAATTAGTTTTATTCTTTGAAATTTTCCAACCCATCTTTGTTTGGTAACCTATTTGCTGTGATGCAAAATATAATTTTATTATGAGCTCCGTCGCACAGCTTGACTAAAAAAGAGATCATGTCTTTTTCCTTATATCCACTGCAATAATAAAATATTTGTCTGTATAACGATAAACTTATGTGCAAAGCCTAAGACCACTATTAACTCCCATATTTAATGGCAACTATATGTGATCCGACAATACTAACGCTTATTCTTTCTTGCATTGGTAGTCCATGAACTTGCTAAATATGACCAACGAATTAAGGCTTCATTTTGCATTGAATGCAGACAACTTATTCCGATTTGGCTTCATTTACTTAAATTCTGGTACATAATATTATACAACAGTCTTTAGAATTTGTAAGATCAATCATAAATACAGACATAACGGAACAGTTCTGTTGTTTTGTTAATATTTAATATCAATTGGATGTTCTTTGTGACCAGCTCAAAATTATTCAAAGATTGTTCACCTAGAATTATGAAATTGCTGATGCATCTTTAAATCAACTTAACTGTTTCTTTTTTCTTGTTGTGCCCGAGTTTCCCCTATTCTATCTTACTTGGAGTCGGGACATTGCAGGTACGCAAGCACTCTCGGAAATAAAAGGGTTGAACTCTTTGACATGGGAGCTGGTGCCAGCGAGCCTACAGCTGATGAGAATGTTCAAATGGCATCAGGTGGGCATTCGATACCCAGTAATTCCCCATAATTGTAGTTCGATTTCTAAAATATGATCAGCTGTGTGATAAAGATAAGTGCCGACATGGTATTACATCGATAATATTTGTACATGGGAAAGATGTTCCTCTATATCCCCCTTCTTCCAACTGGTTGCCACCTCTCTGTCTTTTGCCATTAG